GTAATGATTTTGCAGCCAACATGCAGCTACAAGCTAAACAAAACTCTTCTCTACAAGTACAACAGAGTAATTCTTCAGCTCTCAAAATCCCAGTAATCTGCGAACAGGGACATGCTTCTGGCTCAATGCACCTGACATAATAAAAGTGGGGGGAAAAACGGCAGAACAAAAACAAACACAACAGCTTGTGAACGTCTGCCAAGCACATGAGCAAACACAGAACTGACAGAGACGCATCATTAAAAACTACGGGACAGTTCAAAACCAGGGCGCTTTACAAACACAAACTTCTCTCTTGCTGAAATCAGAGTGGCTTTGGAAGAGAATATGATCAGTTTTAATGCAGAATGAGTTTTTATAATTTTACACTACCAGTCAGAAGTTTGGAATGATTAAGATTTTGTAATGTTTTTGAAAGAAGTCTCTCACGCTTATCAAGGCTGCATAGATTTAATCAAAACTACTGTAAAAACGATAATCCTGTGAAATATTATTACAGTTTAAAATAACTGTTCTCTATTTTAATATATTTTAAAATGTAATTTATTTCTGTGATGCAAAGCTGAATTTTCTGCAGCCATTGCTCCAGTTTTCAGTGTCGCATGATGCAGAAAAAACATGCAGAAAATGCAGGAAAAAAGTTTTCATCATTGATAATATTAAAGGGGTCATATGATGCGATTTCAAGTTTTCTTTTCTCTTTGGAGTGTTACAAGCTCTTGGTGCATAAAGAAGATCTGTAAAGTTGCAAAGACTAAAGTCTCAAATCCAAAGAGATATTCTTTATAAAAGTTAAGAGTCAGCCACGCCCCCTAAAACGGCTCGTTCTAACACGCCCCCACATATCTACGTCACTATGTGGAAAATTAGCATAATGCTGCCCAAATGTTCACGCAAAGAAAGAAGGCGTGGTTTCAGGAACAGCAGTAGTGTTGATGCAGCCATGTCAGGGAGACGCTGTGTGTTTCAGTGCAAAAGCAAAAGCACTTTATTTGGCCTTCTGGAAGTAGATGCAATTAGGAATCATTGGTTAAGATTTATTTACAACAGAACAGCACAACCCAGATGTTCGAATTTGTGCAACACATTTTATGGACGACAGTTTTTTGAACCTAGAAGAGTACAAGGCTGGCTGTGCACAAAGGCTATTTCTAAAAAAAAAAGAAAAAAAGGGTAAATTCCGACTTTGCTATGATAATCTGGCACTTCTGAATCAGCGACTGTGTGTATGTTTTGTTATCAGTTTAAGTATTTGTTATTGACTGTTCAAATGTGGAGTTTTGCGCAGCACAGAGTAATGCGTCGTGTGTGTGTGTGTGAGGGGAACAGGGTCACATCACAGGAGAGTGAACTGTCTGTCAGAAATCATAGCACGTCAGCTGTCTTAACCGCGGCTTGTGTACTGCATCATCACGGTGTCTGTCACGCGACTCTGTTGCCCTTTTCGGGCTTGAACTGATGGTAAAACTAACAACATTATTAACTGTCTTGATATTTACTTTGAAAGGTGACGCTCGCGATTATGGTAAGGGGCGTTACATTTCCGACACGTGCTTGTGGTGTTCGGCCAATCACAATGCACTGGGTCAGCTGGCCAATCAGAGCAGGCTGCGCTTGTCAAACGACGTGTTAAAATAAAGCAGCCTTGGTTAACATAAGAGACATATTTTAAAATCTTATTTAAAAAAAGATAAATTACTCTAAAGTTTTGACCGGCAGTGAAAAAAGTCATTTTATTTCAAATTAAGCATCCTGCGTTAGTTCAGGCAGGCCTCGTAGTCAAGCTCCGCTATCAGCTGACTGGCGAAATTGAAACCCGGCCCCTATCAGCTGATCCGACTCCTAAGCTTGCAATTGGCAAATCTCAAACAGGGCGCCTTACTTAAACACTGCTTCTGTCTGCTTGCTTTGCTGCTTTCTCTATTACGCTGCTTGCAACCCA